CTTAATGGAGGGTGTTATATGGAGCGGAGTCTGCAGGGAGACAGACTTAATGGAGGGTGTTATATGGAGCGGAGTCTGCAGGGAGACAGATTTAATGGAGGGTGTTATATGGAGCGGAGTCTGCAGGGAGACAGACTTAATGGAGGGTGTTATATGGAGCGGAGTCTGCAGGGAGACAGATTTAATGGAGGGTGTTATATCGAGCAGAGTCTGCAGGGAGACAGATTTAATGGAGGGTGTTATATGGAGCAGAGTCTGCAGGGAGACAGACTTAGTGGAGGGTGTTATATGGAGCAGAGTCTGCAGGGAGACAGATTTAATGGAGGGTGTTATATGGAGCAGAGTCTGCAGGGAGACAGACTTAGTGGAGGGTGTTATATGGAGCGGAGTCTGCAGGAAGACAGACTTAATGGAGGGTGTTATATGGAGCAGAGTCTGCAGGGAGACAGACTTAGTGGAGGGTGTTATATGGAGCAGAGTCTGCAGGGAGACAGACTTAATGGAGGGTGTTATATGGAGCAGAGTCTGCAGGGAGACAGACTTAGTGGAGGGTGTTATATGGAGCAGAGTCTGCAGGGAGACAGACTTAGTGGAGGGTGTTATATGGAGCGGAGTCTGCAGGAAGACAGACTTAATGGAGGGTGTTATATGGAGCGGAGTCTGCAGGGAGACAGACTTAATGGAGGGTGTTACATGGAGCGGAGTCTGCAGGGAGACAGACTTAATGGAGGGTGTTATATGGAGCAGAGTCTGCAGGGAGACAGATTTAATGGAGGGTGTTATATGGAGCAGAGTCTGCAGGGAGACAGACTTAATGGAGGGTGTTATATGGAGCAGAGTCTGCAGGGAGACAGATTTAATGGAGGGTGTTATATGGAGCAGAGTCTGCAGGGAGACAGACTTAGTGGAGGGTGTTATATGGAGCGGAGTCTGCAGGAAGACAGACTTAATGGAGGGTGTTATATCGAGCAGAGTCTGCAGGGAGACAGACTTAGTGGAGGGTGTTATATGGAGCGGAGTCTGCAGGAAGACAGACTTAATGGAGGGTGTTATATGGAGCGGAGTCTGCAGGGAGACAGACTTAATGGAGGGTGTTACATGGAGCGGAGTCTGCAGGGAGACAGACTTAGTGGAGGGTGTTATATGGAGCAGAGTCTGCAGGGAGACAGATTTAATGGAGGGTGTTATATGGAGCGTAGTCTGCAGGGAGACAGACTTAGTGGAGGGTGTTATATGGAGTGGAGTCTGCAGGGAGACAGACTTAATGGAGGGTGTTATATGGAGCGGAGTCTGCAGGGAGACAGACTTAATGGAGGGTGTTATATGGAGCGGAGTCTGCAGGGAGACAGACTTAGTGGAGGGTGTTATATGGAGCAGAGTCTGCAGGGAGACAGACTTAATGGAGGGTGTTATATGGAGTGGAAGAAAATATTTTGCATTGAAATTTTGCAAAAAATATAAGCATTATGATACATGTATCAGTTTTTCGGAAAATTTATTAAAGTGGTTGTATCTTCTATAGTGTTATTACTAGACTGTAGTGTAAGCAGGGTTTTATTGAATGTCAAATTCTGCTTCCAATATGCATACAAATTAACCCACTAAGTCACTGAGGCGGCCCGTGAAGATCCGGGGTAGAATAGGTCTTCAGCAACCCATGCTTGCCATTAAAGGCAACTTTGCTTGTCGTAAGAGGCCACTAATAGGATCGGATGGTCAGGCTCACTGACTTGGTAGAAGCATGTCATCGTTCCAAATTGCGTGGATCGATGCTCATGATGTCAATCACTGGATTAGTTAGTCGCCTCTTACAGCAAGCATGGGTTGCTGAAACCCAAGTCTAACCCATATTTTCATAGCTTATCATGATGTTCATATTTTGGGGACTAACTGAGGTTAGTTGGAACACTGTTTTTGTATTGTTCTGAACATATGACAGAAATAATCAATACGTCCTGACATCACAAACTGATCACATTACATATCTAAACAGTAGGTTGAATTTAGTAGTTTTATTTGTAATTTGGACATTTCAAAATGTTCTCTTCTTAAATTCTCTTCTTAAATAAGTGGACACAGAATAACCTACTTGAAGCTTGGAACTACTGAGTGAGTTGGGTTTAACGCCGCTTTTAACAGTATTCCAGTTATATCACAGCGTGTCAGCTTAATGTGGAAGGAAAGCCCAAAGTAATGCAGCACGGGTATGGTGCTGACAAACCTAGAAACATAATCTGGGCGAACCCGTATTCGAACCCACAATTTTCTGGCGTGCCCAAAGGACGCAACTCTGCACATCCTTAGACGACAGGGATACCCATGCAAATATAAGTCCAGATATACAATGAACAAGTTTATAACCATATAGTGTAATAATAGGATAAAATTGGGTACTTCAGTTCGGAATTGTTTACTGGTATTTCCGGTGTTACGTGATCAGCTGGTAATGGGTTTTTTTCAATGGGGGAAAAACATTGTGTCATCATAAAACTTGAGTTTATTAAAAATGTACATAGATTTTGGGAGCCATGGATTGGGATTGGGCTCATCAGACTCCCTGTTGAGAATCCATGTCAACAAGACCTTGCTAAGTTATATTATCCATCATCAGACTCCCTGTTGATATTCCTTGCTAACAAGACCTTGCTTAGTCATATTATCCATTGTCAGACGTCCTGTTCATATTCCTTGTTAACAAGACCTTGCTTAGTCATATTATCCATTGTCAGACGTCCTGTTGATATTCCTTGTTAACAAGACCTTGCTTAGTCATATTATCCATTGTCAGACGTCCTGTTGATATTCCTTGCTAACAAGACCTTGCTTAGTCATATTATCCATTGTCAGACGTCCTGTTCATATTCCTTGTTAACAAGACCTTGCTTAGTCATATTATCCATTGTCAGACGTCCTGTTGATATTCCTTCTTAAAAAGACCTTGCTTAGTCATATTATCCATCATCAGACGATTGGGATTGTTCACTAGCCAATATATTAGCAAATATCACCGTGGGCGCTTATTATGTCGAATACGGTACATGTATTGAAACACAGCAGCTGGTATTATTTATACCACTACTCAACCTGTCCTTTTTGTACGCCATCCCATATTCAACCTGAATGTCTTGCAGCATAACGACTTCCCTTGTTTCATTCCAATTTCTTTAATAAAAGAAATGGAGCCAAAACGAGGCTATGGTAGCAAACATGGCTATGGTCGCGAACAATTACGTGTGGAAATGATGTTCAAACTTTTGACACTGTCCCTTATTCCAAAGGTTCTTTTTCGCTTTTTAACAGTGACAACCATGTGTTACAAATATGATATAATGGGAAAATAACTGCTCATATCACATGTTGTTTTTTCTTATTATGCAAGCCTTTGGTCATTGAATGCCATATATTTTATTCTTAATATATTTATTATACAAAAACACACTAGGGTAATAATCTCTTTATTATATATTGTCATTAATCATATTATCAAAGAAACCTATTTTCATTGACAAAAACAACTTTAGGAACTGCATGTGAATTCAGTACCTGAGTAGACTGCCCAATTTGTTATATAGTGCCAATTTTTTTGCAGCCATGTTTACATAAATCTCTGATATCAAAACCTCAATCGAAATTGTTGGGAATGTAAGACAATAGATTATAGGGCCAGTAGGCATTGCATCGAGTATGGAGATTCTTGAAAGTAGTTCCTGCTAAGTGACCATATTTACATTTTTATCAGAATGTGATGCCATGTTTATCAGTGTGGTTTAGGGCTGGGACGAGTCCAAATTTATTACCCACTGCAAGTCTCAAGAGTTGGGAACCTAATGTCTGATTGATAATTATTTTACCGCAGCCCTGGCTGAAAATATTCAGATCATGTATCAAACAATCAGATCATGCGTTCACTGAAGTTGACTGAAGCTTTATCTTTACTCAAACATATACAAGTCAAAAGGAGTGTGTGCATCGTCAGAAAGAAATGCGAACATTAGTGACTTGTAGTGTAACCACTGAGCTATACTGAGTTTTTGTCATTAAACTATATATCACATGACTAACCATGGGTCCGGGTAGTCCTGTGGGTACCCGGGTCCTACTCAGGACCCACCCGACCAGAGTACCCGAGTTGGCCGTCCCAGCCCTAGTGTTTTTTTTTGCATCTTTCCATTATATCAACAAATGTCATGGTGTGTGATTTGTTTCCATATAGCAGTGAGAACCTGTATGACAACTAACCCAAGCTCACAATGTGAAGCACACAGCTTTAACGCAATATTGATTCCTGCTAATGTTGGCCGACATGCTTGGGAGAGTAACTCAACTAACTGCACTATCTTAATAATCTTTACTGACAGAGTCACCTACTGTATTCTACGTAACACATGTGGAACCATGACAGCTGTCACTCGGACATTATGCCTGGAAACAATTATTGCATTTGTTTAGTTACCGTACTAATTCTTATAATATACATAATATAGCCACATTATTGATGCCACAATATGTTGAAAATGCATGTGAATATTTTTACTCTCTTTACGGGATATGTCCCTCAACTGCCTAAGAGCTAATATCTGTCAATATATTTCCTAAATTACACATTAGACATGTATGGGAATAACCATTTATAAGATACTATTACCATGTTTACCTTATGTTTTGCATGAATAAAACCTTTTTTTCTGGAAATTTGCAAGAACCAGCTGTTACTGTGCTATCGTATTGAAATAGTATTTTAGCTGTCACTATACTATTGCAATAGTATTTTAACTAAGTGAAACTATTGCAGTAGTATATTACCTGTCACTATGCTATTATGGTAGTGTTTTAACTGAGCTAAACTATTGCAATAATGTTTGAGCATTCACTATGCCATTTCAACAATGTTTATGTTATCAGTATTTTAACTATTGCGTTAATTTTGTATTTTAACTTTTGCTAAAGTATTTGTATTTTGTATTTAACAACAAAATGAAGTTCCTTTGCTCTTGTTTCAGAGGATGAAGGTCCTAGGGATAGAGTTCGCTCCCCTGAGGATTCCCTTGGAGCGTCGCCTGCAGACAATATCAGTTTACCAGTTCACTCTTTCGTTCTTGTTCCTCGGCTTCTTCTGTCTGTTCCTGTCCTTCTACCTGCTGTTCACACGCTTCTACTATGTATCATTAATCTATGCAGTGTGGTACGTCTACGACCGCAAACAGAGTGCCCGTGGAGGGCGCCCCATCCTGTGGGTGCGCGGGTGGAGGATGTGGAAGAACTTTGCCAACTACTTCCCTCTGAAGCTGATAAAGACAGTGGACTTGAACCCCAACAGGAACTATATATTTGCGTGTCACCCCCATGGTGTCATGTGTTATAGCCATTTTTGTAATTTTGCTACAGAAGGAACAGGATTTAGCGACTTATTTCCTGGCCTGCGCCCCTATTTGCTGACCCTCGCAGGCCAGTATAAGTTTCCTTTCTTCAGGGAATATTTTATGTTAACAGGTAAGTGCAGGTTATTAAGGGTTTATGTTGTTGTTGTTGTTGTTGTTTTGTTTAACGCCGCACTCAGCAATATTCCAGCTATATGATGGCGGTCTGTATAAATAATTGAGTCTCGACTAGACAATGCAGTGATTAATATCATGAGCATCGATCCACGCAATTGGGATTGATGACATGCATCAACCAAGTCAGCAAGCCTGACCACCCGATCCCGTAACACGACAAGCATAGTAGCCTATTATGGCAAGCATGGGTTGCTAAAGATCTATTCTACCCCGTATCTTCATGGGTTTATTATGGTTTTAAGCCTTCATCGTAAACAAGTATCCCTTCATCGTACACACACTTTATTAGGGTTTTAAGTGTGTGTACGATGAAGGGATACTTGTTTACAATGAAGGGATACTTGTGTACGATGAAGGGACACTTGTTTACGATGAAGGGATACTTGTTTACGATGAAGGGATACTTGTTTGCGATGAAGGGATACTTGTTTGGGATACTTGTATACGATGAAGGGATACTTGTTTACGATGAAGGGATACTTGTTTACGATGAAGGGATACTTGTATACGATGAAGGGGTACTTGTTTACGACGAAGGGATACTTGTTTGGGATACTTGTTTACGATGAAGGGATAAACTTGTTTACGATGAAGGGATACTTGTTTACGATGAAGGGATACTTGTTTACGATGAAGGGATACTTGTTTGGGACACTTGTATACAATGAAGGGATACTTGTTTACAATGAAGGGATACTTGTTTACAATGAAGGGATACTTGTTTACGATGAAGGGATACTTGTTTACAATGAAGGGATACTTGTTTACGATGAAGGGATACTTGTTTACGATGAAGGGATACTTGTATATGATGAAGGGATACTTGTTTGGGACACTTGTATACAATGAAGGGATACTTGTTTACGATGAAGGGATACTTGTTTGGGATACTTGTATACGATGAAGGGATACTTGTTTACAATGAAGGGATACTTGTTTACGATGAAGGGATACTTGTTTACGATGAAGGGATACTTGTATATGATGAAGGTATACTTTTTTACGATGAAGGGATACTTGTTTACAATGAAGGGATACTTGTTTATGATGAAGGGATACTTGTTTACAATGAAGGGACACTTGTGTACGATGAAGGGACACTTGTTTACGATGAAGGGATACTTGTTTACGATGAAGGGATACTTGTTTACGATGAAGGGATACTTGTATACGATGAAGGGATACTTGTTTGGGATACTTGTTTACAATGAAGGGATACTTGTTTATGATGAAGGGATACTTGTGTACGATGAAGGGACACATGTGTACAATGAAGGGATACTTGTTTACGATGAAGGGACACTTGTGTACGATGAAGGGACACTTGTTTACGATGAAGGGATACTTGTTTACGATGAAGGGATACTTGTTTACAATGAAGGGATACTTGTATACTATGAAGGGATACTTGTTTACGAAGAAGGGATACTTGTTTAGGATACCTGTTTACAATGAAGGGATACTTGTTTATGATGAAGGGAAATATACTTGTTTACGATGAAAGGACACTTGTTTACGATGAAGGGATACTTGTTTACGATGAAGGGATACTTGTGTACGATGAAGGAATACTTGTTTACGATGAAGGGATACTTGTTTACGATGAAGGGATACTTGTGTACGATGAAGGGACACTTGTGTATGATGAAGGGATACTTGTGTACGATGAAGGGACACTTGTGTATGTTGAAGGGATACTTGTGTACGATGAAGGGATACTTGTTTACGATGAAGGGATACTTGTGTACGATGAAGGGACATTTGTGTATGATGAAGGGATACTTGTGTATGATGAAGGGATACTTGTTTACGATGAAGGGACACTTGTTTACGATGAAAGGATACTTGTGTACGATGAAGGGATACTTGTTTACGATGAAGGGATACTTGTTTAATTGTGTTTTAGGTATATGTAATGAGTTCAGGATGTTGGGGTAGACAGGTCGTAAACATTTGCATCAGGCCAAACACCTGGGCATCCTTTGCTCATGTATTTCTGGTACAATTCATTTAACCAGTCAGATGGCAAAAGGGAAAAAAGATAATTTTGCTTTGAGATTTGCCTTTGTTCTTCACATTTACCATGACAAAGCAGAACGTGTGCAACTGCCAATATAACATGTTCAAAGAGCTTTTCATCCATGTTGTCAGGAAGATTCTATGTGGCACAGGACAATGGAACTTATGTTCTATACCACCACTATACGAAGCTTCGTGTGAGAGTTTGTTGGTATAGAGTATTAGTTCCATGGTCGTGTGTGTGTAGACAAAGCCACTGAGGTGAAGGTCATAAGATCATGAAGGTCATAAGATCTGTGTTTCAGGCTCCTGTGATGCAAGCAAGGAAAGTATAGAGTATCTTTTATCGAAGGCTGGGACAGGCAATGTCCTTGGCCTAGTCATCGGAGGAGCCATTGAAGCTCTGAATGCCTCTCCCGGGAACTTCAGACTTCATTTGAAAAACCGGAAAGGTTTTATAAAAATAGCTATGAAACATGGGTAGGTATATTGCTTTAGGATTCCAAACATACGGTAATATTATTTTTATCTGAAAAATGTTCAGAAGTGTTTGTCCAACAAGATGGAGTCACTGTGTGGTCAGAATCACTGAGAATTTATTGTACCCTGGAATCACCATGGGGCACCTGCACGATACTAAAATATCGGCACCCCATCTCTCTCATCTGTGGAAGTGTATTAGGGCCACATTCTGAAAGAAATATTGTCTACATAGATGATACTTTCAAACTTGTGGTTTAGTGGTAGAGCGTCCGCCTGGAGAGCGGAAGGTCCGGGGTTCGATCCCTGGCCGCGTCATACCAAAAGACGTTTAAAGATGGTACTTGTTGTGTCCCTGTCTGGCGCTCGGCATTCGGGGGCTAAAACAAGGACTGGTCGGCTCGGAGTCAGTATACTGTGTCTGAGTGGGGGTATTCATGTTAAACTGCGGCATGGTATCTCAGTGGGCTAGCACTATAAATCGGCATCAGTCCGGTCTAGTACAAGCAGCCACACACACACACATGTGCATGCATGTCGCTATATAAGTGCAATAATCTTGGACGCGACGTTTAACGCAATTTCACCTCACCTCACACCTCAAACTTGTTCACAAGCAAACCTTCTACCCCTGCTGTTGTTATCAATTGCACAGATTATACAGATACACAGGTTCAGTTTTTCAGGTCATGATTTTCTTCCGTTTGTTAAGCAGTTTGTATTAAACCATGTTATCGTGGTTGTGGACAACAGGTGGACAGGTCTTCAGTGGTAGAAACTAACATTATTGGTCTACTAGTCCTGTTAATGATAACCCTTAAAAATGGCAAATTTCTACTAGTCCTTATGATACCTTAACTATTGGGCAGTTTGGCAAGGACTAAAGGACTAAAGTACTCACGGAAATGAAAAAAACCCTGTTTTTTCGACCTCAGATCTTAAATAAATGCAGTTAATATACAAAATATGTAAATATTCAAACAACTAAATTAGTACTAATTGGGCCGTGGCACAAATACAGCGTATCAAATGTTTTTTTGCCTTTTTACACGTAAAAGTGTGTAAAAATGTGAATAAAACAGACTATTGTGAAACAGGGCATAACCAGGTGTAAGTAGATCAAGGTGACCTATGACACCTTGACGACAGGTGAGAACAGGTGCATAATGCCTATAGTCTGTTTCTGCTATGTCAATTTGGACTTAGTTTTATTTTTGAATGTTGAAAGTGCCGACAAATTACCTCCTGTAAAGTACATTTTGTATTGTTCACTGAGATCAAACTAGCAAATCCAGACTAGTACTTTTTGAGTTGTTTTGTTATTTCGTATTTACAGCTACGTAACACTTTGTGTCGATTTTTAAATTGAGAAAAACAGTTTTTTTTCATTTCCGTGAGTACTTTAATGCCAGTTTCTAACGCTGGTCTTACAGCAACTTGCCTCCTGAGAGTTTCTAGGGCTTGGGAACTGCCCTACGATGGAGCACATGTTACATGTGGTGTCTCCTTGGGCAAATGACTTGTTCCAATTATGCTTCTGTTCACCCAGCAGTGAATGGGTACCTGGTAGGATGAGATGGTAACATGACAGTTTACCTTCTTATGCGTCACAAGCAGCTTGGGTTGTATACTCCCGAGGGAGCTGAGAATGAAAATCAAATGCACACCAATCTATTAACTGGGTTATTAATCGTATGCACTTTGAGCATAGACGAGTATGAAATTTAGCAGTATATAAGAATTTCCCCATGTCTCTTTCAGAGCTGATGTCTGCCCTGTGTTTTCCTTTGGAGAAAATGACTTGTATTCTCAAGTGCCTAATCCTGAGGGGTCTTTCACACGAAAATTACAGATAACGTTAACCCGGGTATGTGGGTTTTCCCCGCCGATATTTTATGGGCGAGGTGTGTTCAACTATTCCTTTGGACTCCTGCCTCACAGGCGACCGATGAACACAGTGGGTAAGTTGACCACCAGTAGTGGTCAGTGTGACCACACGTGTCACTACTCGTAATTCTCGCACTATTTGATTATGATAAACCGGTTTTGTTTGATTCAAAGATAGGGCTAGCTTTTGATACAGATCATAGAGATTTATTATCGTTGACTAGTATGGATCAATTATCGATAATTATCGGAGAAGTTACTTTTAGCAAATATGCAGAAAAAAGATCAGAAAGAAATCAACATATTTCACACCACTGGTTAGTGGTGGCACATTTATGCAGGGATTACTTTGTGGACTTTTGAAATACAGCAAAAATAGTTACTTTTTTCATCTTTGTCACTTGACATTATTGGCAGCAAAAAGTCTGTTTTGGTAAATCTAAACTTTATTTCATCACAATAGTTACGTAAGATATTATCAATGACACAATTTTTGTATCAAGAATTGTTATATGCTTTTTGACAGTCCACTTCAAAGTGGAATTGAGTTGATACAAAAATGAAGTGTTATTGACTGTAAAAAGGGTCCTCCCTTTCTTTCATGACAGCTTATCAATATGAAGAGTTTGTTTTGGTTGTTGTTTACACCAGTCAGCAGTGTTCCATCTATGCTGGGTGTAAACAATCAAATCTGGGCCAGACAGATGAGTTGTTGAGACTATGAGCACGTCCCACACCAGCGGAGGAGGATGACTCGCCATCAACAAAGTCACCGCGCCTCACTATGCTTGTCGTAAGAGGCGACTAACGGGATCGGGTGGTCAGGCTTGCTGACTTGGTTGATGCATGTCATCGATCCCAATTGCGTGGACCGATGTTCATGATCTCAATCACTGGATTGTCTGGTCCAGACTTGAATATTTATAGAAGGCTGTCATATAGCTGGAATATTGTTGAGTGCGGCATCAAACAACATACAAACAAACAAAACATTACGACTGCACAATGGATGGTTCAGATATTGGTATCAACCTGCCATTTATTTGCAGTGGGAAAACCAATTGGAATTACAAAGAACGAGAATCCAACCAACGAAGAAGTGGCTGATCTTCACCAGAAGTACATGGATGCCCTTATAGACTTGTTTGAAACTAACAAGACCAAGTATGGTGTTGCTGAAGACGAGCATCTTATTCTTGAGTGATTACAAGACCAAATATGGTATTGATGAAGACTGCCATCTTATTATTTAATGATAGCAGGACCATATATGGTGTTGAAAAAACATCTAATTGCTGATTGGGAAAAGAGGAAACAATAAAAAATACATATAACATATTTCACTTTACATATCAACAGAAATGACAGTACAAAAACATTGTTTTTTACCTATAAACATATTACTTAAAGATAAATGACTTAAAGAGAAGCTGTTTTGACTTATTCAGTCTCAGTGATTTGTATTCTCTGAGATGAGTTCTGTCAATAGATTAAATCATGAATGTCAGAATCGTGTAGTTGGATGAGCTGACGTTTGTATATTGTGGCTGATCAGGACAAGACAATCGCAAAACCGCGCCCAATGTAAAGTAAGCACAAACTTACTGATGCAGTAGCCGTAGTGCTGTGATGACTGGCCAAGTGGACCCTGATATATTAAGTTCAAGGCAAACATAACTAAAGAAGCTCCCAGCAATATCTCTAATTCATCTGATAAAAACTGACTGGGCCTAAAGTCAGAGACCTGCAGTTGATGCCACAGATTAAAACAATATGGCTACATCACATAGATACAGAATCAGTTTCCAGGGGGATATCTTCCAGTTTTGACTTAATATTGTTTTTTATGTATTGGATGTCTCATGTTCACAGATATTTCAATAGAAATAGATTACACTGTTCCTTCATTTCTGCATAATCAGCAATATTTCAGGCTCGTGAGAGACCATTCATCTTTTGATTATGCCAATGCATAATAAATATGAAAAATGTCCCTGCTATTTAATGAATGTCTGTCTCCATCATGTTGGTTTCGTTCACTTTTTAGTTGAACATTGTGATAACTGGATAATCTTTCAAGTAGTGTAGACTGATCATTTCATGACTTGTGTACCTTATGAAATACATATCACTAACATTTGTAGGTTCAAGGGTTGTAGTCATTTCAGCCTGGAGATGTTATTTGAGTGCCTGGTTTTACAACAATTGTGTTTGAGTTGTCAGATTATTTTCATGTCATTGTTGAAATGAATGTTCTAGGTGCGATGTTGATGGCATAAACTGCCTTTTGTTAAATGAATATACATAAAAATATTCAAGATCTATTATGCGCAGAGTGAAAAGACAAAAATGGTTCTGTTCATGAGGTTCACCACAATTGTAGACAGCTGATCTTCGTGAGTGCTGCTACTGATCAAAGTGGTGAGAAGACATCGCGACACTATGCAATATGTCCTTTTATCTATATCCAAGGAAACATGCCCAATGTGTGTGTGTGTGTTTGGTGTGTGTGTGTTTGGTGTGTGTGTGTTTGGTGTGTGTGTGTGTGTTTGGTGTGTGTGTGTGTGTTTGGTGTGTGTGTTTGGTGTGTGTGTGTGTGTGTGTGTGTGTGTGTGTTTGGTGTGTGTGTGTGTGTGTGTGTGTGTGTTTGGTGTGTTTGTGTGTGTGTGTGTTTGGTGTGTGTGTGTGTGTGTGTCATGGCATATTGTAAATATCTTACATTAAGAAAAGAATTATTACCATATTCGACATAATAAGCGCCCCGCTCTATCACCCACGGCGATATTTGCTAATATATTGGCTAGTGAACAATCCCAATTAGCACCCCTTCCGATTGATCAATATACACAAGACTTATTTATTCGTGTAAAATATGCACTTTTGTGTTATATGCACTTAATTATGGGCAATTAAATTCTGGAAAAATATATCTGTTCTATATAAACATTTCAGGCTGTCAGCATTAACCATGAAATTTTCGATTTTTCAACTCTGTTTTTTTCACCAAAATAATATTCTAATAAGAGCCCCCTGTTTCTAATTTTGAGAGTGCCCTGGGCGCTTATTACGTAGAATATGGTATATATAAGGAAAAACAATACTGTTTTATGTATGCCTAAGGTGAGCATGAATAATATTTGGTATAAGTATTATTTGATTATTTTTTTATCACATGATTTCATTGTTACTTTAATCAAAATTTCATCCTACTATTCTTCTGTCTGTCAGTTCAGTCAATCTTCTTGTCCATGTTCATTTCACTCTGCTCTCCTTCTGTCTCCGAGTTTACCATCTTCATTCCTACCTACCGATACCCTAGTCATCTACCTGAACATGTGCATCAGTCCCCATATATACATGTCTAGTTTTCTCCCTAATAACTTGCTGTTTATTTGTCCAGTACTTGTTATGGCTTACTTTGTTCAAAGTAATGTTCTTTTGGTCTGTCTAGTTTATTACCCAATCTGATCAAAATCGGATGGTTACTCTATATGACACCTCTGCATGAAGCCCTGACAAAACCTTCATAGGGCAAAGTAGCATTACTGATTTCTGTCTCTTGAAAACAAAACTGAACAGGCAGTTCCAAATGGAAAACAAAAATGACCATTCTACTCAACCAGTGAAGTTACCTCCAGTCTGTCACTCTCTTGTCTCTTTGTTTCTCTGTTACTCTTTCATTTCATCTAATTTATTACCAAGTGAGGGATACAATCTTGTTTCTGTCACAATAATTTCCAGTAGGAAAGCGAATTTGGCTGCTGTCATGTTTCTATAATTTATTGTAAAGTTGCTGCTTTTTCACAGTTGATTGTTAAGCTGCAATATGGTCGTATTTAGAATAGTTTGTGCCATAATGTTAGCATTATATATTGATGGAATAATAAACTGCCAGAACATCTGGTTCAGTTGTGCTTGTTCTGAATAATTCATACTCATAACAAGTCCATTTTTTTTATGTTACATGACAGTGATTGACTGATCAGTGTATTTATCTTCCCAAGGCTAGGGAGTTAAATGACAATATAAGTCTAGTTTCCACCCTTGCCAAACTAGGCTGGAATTCTGGAGTTATATTTTGGCTGGACTAACAAGTCTAAGCATAGTCCAATCCAAATTGTGCAATAACTAAACATATAGTTCATAAACAACATGGATTTCAACATGCAGATTTTGATTTTGCAAAGCATGTGTACTGTCAACTGGGCAGCAACAAATATTTTTCCAAATCTTTTCAAACTTTTAATCAAGGTGCTCAAATGATTTGTTGGACTTTTCAAGGTAAGGCCCCTTTTATTACAATATTAGATCTTGATTATCAAAAGCAGATTGTCTTGTTTGGGTGCCGCCATTTTGTTTGAAGGAAATGCAAGTGACGTGAGAGTGGAATCTGATGGTTAATAGGAGGGAGATAGAAGTGACATAGCTCATAATAGCCTTTGGTGGTGTTACAATCAGGCCATGAAATTCCAGTGTAGTTCGGCAAGGGTGGAAACTGGACTTTTAAAGCCAGTTAACTCCCTTGCCCTGGGAGGATGCTGTGTATTGCTTGCATGCTACATAGTGTCATTGTGCTACTTGTTAGTCCTAAAATGTGATTAACCGAAGACTGAGAAGCACTTCTCTTGTAACATGTTTAAGTGATGATGTCCATGAGTACGGGAACCTCTCCTGCATCATGTATGCTCATGTACTTGTTCCAGACTCAACTATGCTTACCGTATTCAACGTAATAGGCGCCCAGAGCACTCTCAAAATAGGAAATAGGGGTCTCTTATTAGAATATGATTGTGGTGGGAAAAAAACAGTGTTGAAAGATAAATTTCATATTTAATGCTGACAGCCTGAAATGTTTATATACGACAGATATATTTTTCCAGAATTTAATTGCCCATTATAAAGGATGCATATAACACACGAAAGCATATTATACGCAAATAAATAAGACTTGTGTACATTGATCAATCGGAAGGGGTGCAAATTGGGATTGTTCCCTAGCCAGTATATTAGCAAATATCGCAGTGGGCGCTTATTAGAGCGGGGCGCTTATTACGTCGAATACGGTAGGTTATGCATTATGAATATCATGGTCTGGTGGTAGAGCAGGAGGTCTGGTGTTTGATGCCCGGCCACATCATACCAAAGGACGTTAAAAATTGGTACTTGTTGCTCTGCCTGTCTCTCAGCAATAATCTTGGACGAGACATTATTAAAACCCCATTTCACCTCACCTATTAACACCAGGAGCGTATAGGGACATCCTAATTACTTCACAGAACCCTGGCATGAAGCATGATAGTTGATGGCTGTGACATCTGTATGGTGTACATAATACTAATTTGGCGTGATATATTAAATCACTCCTGTACTAGAAAACAACCTCACATTCTCGCAGAATGTTTATGAAACTGGCTGCCTGTTCCAAGTTACTTACTTGCATATTACCTGCTATATTTCTGCAGCCAATTATATATCATTGTATATGTATGATGTCGTAGAAATATTTTGTTAGTAGATTCTTGTATATCTACATTTTATACAGCTACTGTTTCGCCAGCTCCGGTGCTGTAAACATTTAGCCATTCCAAAAGTGATAATATAATATATGTGTTCTTCTGTTTGTCTGTTGAAAAGATGAAGAATGATTGTGTTTATTTTAGTTTTTGAATCAAATTAGTATTTATATACCCGTACTCTAGTTTCTGGAAAACCTTTTCATTTCTATGATCCAATCATTTAGAAAATGTCCTGAAAGAATTCATTGGATATTCAATATCCAGAATGAAAGGTTATAATCCTTGATAAATGCCAACTTGTTTGTTCTAAGATGATGTACACCACGTTTCAGTTGGGTGTTGAATCAAGGCAGGTACTTATGTCTGTGGGAATCTGTGATGAAATACCGTAAATCGTTAAATTAATGCGAGCATGAAATTGATGCAAAAAATGCCAGTGTTCCATGCATGCGTTAATAAAGTGACGAATTAATTTCATGATTTACAGTAAACAATAATATTGTCCATGACAATGTAGAGGGCATTGAACCTGGAAGCAAGCTCATCGCTACAGGTGTGGTATATTAGCTGTCCTGGGATTCTAGACTGACATGGCCCTTTTGTTCCACAGCCATAGCATCTCTTGTGGGGCCTCAGTACATGTAGTCTTCTTAGCACTAAGATGGGGCATTTCCTTGTTATGTCTCCATATATATATTTGTTTTATCCCTAGGAAAGCTACATGGCTCAATAACTACAGTAATCTTTGCTAAGAT